AAGTAATATTTACAGTAGAGGCATGCAGCCTTTATCAATTAACCTGGACATGCAGAAGGCACACTGACAATATATAAGGTAGAAATAGTTGACATTGTGAATGAAGTCAGCCCCCAATAGCAAAAGTATGAACAACACATTTCACTGATAGGTGTGATGAAATACCTAACTGCCGGCAGCCCTTGCATATGGCTTGAAACTCAAATTCTTACCCTATACTACTTTAGATCTGGAGTAGCTAATGTGCTGCTCTGCACATGTTGCTGGACAACAATGATTCTCTTCCCTTGACCACATGTGCTGGGGTCCAATGACATCAGAAAAGTACCGAATGGCCTACCCCAACTTTAGATGGTGATACTTGTGGGGAATGGTGACTGGTCAAATATTGGCATTGGGATTATTTGTATTTATTGAATTTACATCCTGCCTTTCCTCCCAAAGGAGCCCAGGGTTTCAAACAGATCCACAATTTAAAAAAGAGAAGCAAAGCAACAGCATTCTAAAAACAATTACAGTTCTAAAAACATTCTAAAAGCAGTCGCAGTTAGAAAGCATTCTTCCATCCAGCGATCTCGGGTTTGCCAGGAACAGTATTCTGGGTTTGGAGACCTGACCTTTACATTGGAAAAAACCGAGAAACTGAGAGAAGTGAAATTGACTGATCCTTCCACCCCAGGGTAGCCACTTATGCATTGCCAAAAAAAGAGAAATCCCTCAACACGAAAGAGCATACATATTTACATATAAGTTTAATATGCTAAATTGTATGCATAGATGCAATTTTATAAGGACAATTATTGAAACAGAAATTCATCTCCAGGTGCTGTTTCTGGGCATTGCTAAGACCCACCCACCTGCAGATGCTCCCTTCTTGGAGTTCTTTACCTTTAAACCAGATGTGGACTGGAAACCCCTTCAAACAGAGGACTCCTTCAAAGAGAGGGCTGTCCTCCGATAACCTGTCAAGCAGAGAACTGTCCCCTGTAAGAGGACACATGGCCACCCTGACAGCTGAGGCATGCCATTCGTTTCATAAATGGGGAAGAGAGGAGGAGAGAACTCCCGCTTTCTGTGGCGCCCACACTTTAGCTGTAGTTACGGTCATAACCCACAGCCTCAGTGTAAACAGTGCACTAGATCAATGGTGATGGGAAACACAAAAGTTGTAAATGAAGAATGCCAGAACTCCCTCTGGTTATTTGACGTATCTCCTGGAAATCACATAAACTGGGACAGCTCAAGCAGGTTAACCAGTCTCTCTTCTGGATTCTATAATCTTTCCTGGGAATTGTTTGTTGAACATCAGCTGAGTTTGCATCACAGCGTTCCTTTCTGATATACAGTGGTACCTCGGGTTACAGATGCTTCAGGTTACAGACTCCGCTAACCCAGAAATAGTACCTGAGGTTAAGACCTTTGCTTCAGGATGAGAACAGAAATCGTGCTCCAGCAGCGTGGCGGCAGCAGGAGGCCTCATTAGCTAAAGTGGTGCTTCAGGTTAAGAAAAGTTTCAGGTTAAGAATGGACCTCCAGAACAAATTACGGTAAATTCTTAACCTGTAAACGTATTGTGGATTATTATGCTTCTTCTAGTTTCTCCCTTTTCCGCCCTCCTCCCTCCAGAGCCTTTTTCCTTATGTGTCATGTGTTTTAGACTGTAAGGCTGCAACCAATGCCCTGCAGCCAGTGCCCTGGCTTTGGCAGCAGCAAGGCTTAACAAAGCAGTGGGGGGCACTGCCATATCCACAGCCCTGCTGCTCACACTGGCCAGAAAGTGGGGTGGGGTTGTTAATTAGATCCATATTTTGCAGGAAGTCCAGTAGATCCCAGACTAGCTCTGCTCTTCCCCACCACTGCAGTTCCCTGATTCAGGTCCTTCTCCAAGCTTCAGCTGGCAGAGATCCCGCCAGTGGCACTTCCACCCTCCTGCACGTTTGGTGTGTGAAATGGAGACCTGCGTGCCAGCAGACATCTTCATCCAAACCAACACCACTCCCAAGCTTTGTGCAAAGGCGCTTTGGGCTACAGTCCCCACCTGAGAGGAGAGACTATTTTACCATTCACATTTGTAAGCGACTCTAGGAGCCACCTTTTGGCTGAGAAGCGGAATAAAAATGATTTTAATAAACAAATGTACTCTGAACCCACAAATGTAGGTCTGCATGCAGGAGACAGAATCTAGTATGAAGAAGCATGATTGAACAATACAAACAACTTCTTATAAAGAGCTATAATTTCAGGTTACAACTGGGTGCTTATTGAAGTGGAACTAATCAGAATATATTAACAGCCAACTTGGGGCTTTTAAAAGCTTCATTTGAGGAAATGCTCAAAGGAAAAATATTTTTTTAAAAAAAAAACCTTTGCACCAAGTTGTGGGTTGTGTAGCTCAACATGCCTTCATAACTACTTTAAAACAGACAACTATTTCCTCAACTGTTAGCAATGCTAAAGTGATTACCAACAACTACCACGCTGGAGGATCACTGTGCTTGTTTTTTCCTACATTTAAGCTCTAGCTGAATTGGCACACACTGTGCCTTCTACATCTCGTTGCTATTTAACTCAGACCTCTACATTTCCTTCCTTATAACCATGTGTATGCATACCTGCCAACTGAGGATTACACTTCATATATTTGATGAACTAGACTCTAACCTAGGAAAGTTCATGCCGTAATAAATATATTAGCCTATAAGGTGCCACAAGATTCTTTGTTACTTTTGCTGCAACAGACGGGAACACGGCAACCTTTCTGGAAATTATTTCCATCATTTTTTTTATTCATGGGTCAGCAACTTCACTTGCATGTAACTTAATAGTCTACTTTCAGATGCCACAGGGTGGCAGTCATGCTACATACAAAAATAAACAGATAGTATAAAATAGACTCTGGACTTTTCAACTTAACTTTTGCCCCGCTTTTTGCAGGTAGAGGTCTGAGCTTTAATCCCTCCCAGCTTCCCCTGCAAAATCACACTCTTTCAAGCTGAATCAGAGCAAACCTCAACTTGGGATTTTTGCAGATTGATAAAGGGTGGGTTTTCACAGGGAAAGCTTTGAGGCAAACAAAAATAAGAGCGTTCAGACACAAAGCTTTAATGTGTGGACCACGTGTGAAAAGAGCGGAAGAAAGTTAATTGTAAGCCCTCCATTGTTTACAAAAAGAAGACCTTGGCACAGACCTTGGCTTGCGCTTATCCTTGGCAGAAAGGAACTCCAAAAAACTGTATTCAAGAGCTATAGCTCTCTTCTGCCCTTGCACAGCTTCTTGTTAAGCCCTTCAGCCTTGCTTCTGCTAAGCTCATATCATGATAATTCTCTGTCAGCCCCCAAATCTTTGTTTGGGGCCTGCAAGTTCCTCATCCTTCCTTCCTCAACCCTTCTCTCAATTTATAGCTGCCACAGCAAAAACTCAGGTGCCCAAACTGGCAATTATTATTACCACCACCACCACTTTTTATTTGTATGCCACCTTTCCAGTTAAAACAATGCTCAAGGCGGCTTACAAGATGAAAATTTTTTCATAATTATAAACATAACAAAGTAGTCATAAAAATAAAGCACATTAAAAACTACATAACCAAACTGAACAATTTCCACATAAAGATACAAAAAGTTAGTATCAGTAATCTCAGTTAATATCAGTAACAAGAGCAAAAACTCCCAACAAAACTTCCCTCAAAACACCCTCATCCTTGCTGGTTAGCAGCCGCAGTCGCAGTTCTTATAGCCGCCCTGGGCCAGGGGGAGATTGGCCGGAACAGGGCCCTCAGGCAGGGAAGTCCTCCTCAAAGCCTCAACAGACTGAACTGGGTGGAGGTTGAGGCACAAAGTTATCCATTTGTGCCCTAAACCTATTCCCATATTAGCAGGTCTACTAAAATCTCAGCAATATATGCTGACCTACTGGTTGTCTGAAAAATACCTTCCAACGAGACTAATCTACTGATATTTGGCCTCACTATTTATATCTATATGTACATTCCACAACAAAGCAGAAATACACTCTGCACAAGTTGCTCCTTCAGCCAGGTGGCGCAATAGTCAAAGCAGTCCGACTGGCAGTCGTTCTCCGTGCTGCGATCAGAAGGATGGTCTGCCCAGTTGTCAAGGGCTGCCTGGATGAGGAAGAGTGGTGGGAGCCGCCCGCCCAAGAGCCCCCCTGGGAGGGCACAAAAGACTCAGATACCGGATCCTGGTGGTGGTACACTAAACAGCAGTCTGCAGAATGGACAAGCTGGGAGGTGGGAGAAGAAGGGTCTGAGTAACGGGGAAGGCCAGGAAGAGGGCCTTCCAGAAAAGGGTTAGAGGCTGAGAGTCATGGTGCGAGTGCAGATTCAGAGGTTGGCTCTGCTACACAGCAGCAGGAGAGCCCCAGTCCTACTGGCTCTACTACCCCCCCCCTCCAATCAAATAGAGTCAGGCCAGGAAGGCACAGAGGAGCTCACCCCCTCAATGCAGCCTCCGTTTGCATGGGAGGGATCCAGAGTGAAAGGCTCGGGAGGATAAGGGTGGAGCTAGTGGTCAGTTTCAGCAATGTCTCAACTGGATTAAAGCAAACCAGAGAACTCTGCTGTGTTGTTTTCTGTTAATAAAAAGCTAATTGCATTCCATACCTCCCGTGTGTGCCTGCCCTGCCGTTGACCTGGCTCACTTTTCAGCTCGACACCAGTTCCCTCTGCCAGAATATCTTGGGCTACCTGCAGAATCAAACTGTTAATGGAAGTCCCTGCTCCTCCTCCCCCGCAAAAGAGGGTTTTAGGATTGTCTGTAGTGTTCTAGGTCATCAGAGCCTACAGGATTCCTACTTCCCGAGGTTGAGGAAACAGTCAGAAATGTAGCTTTCATAAAATTAATGGAACCAGAGCATCTTGTACTAATGTTGGGGTTGCAACCTTTGGTCAGGCAAAATAAGGGATGGGGCAGGGGAATTGGGGCACTAAAAATTGCCATACACAGTGCAGAAATGACTTCAAGGTCATTGCAACGGCACACATGGTTTACAGTGCTTTATTCAATGGAGAAAAACAAAAGCATTATGATTTGTAATTGGTTTGACACAAACCAACATGAAGCAACTTAACATGGTGTTTACTATCTTTGTTTCTGTGGAAAGGGCCACAGAAGTCCCTCAGTTTTGAGACAATAGTCTCTGTCTGTCTCCACTTCACCTTCCATGACTTTCTGCCACTCCTTGTTTCATTAAGCAGTGTTTGTCCTTCAAAATAAGAGTGGAATTCGGCACATGGCAGTTCAAAGTTCAGAGAAATCAGGATCTCACTTTTTATCAGTTCCACAGAGCACCGGTTCTGAACATTACTCCATTTGTTCAACAGCATGGAGGAAATCCACTCCACAGGGCAAATTGGGTAGATCACATGCTGTAAATATAGCCATCCACTTTGCAGCCACATCTTTGTTCTTTCACTGAGCATCCTTTAAAAGCTGCTCCAGAATGCAGTTGGCTGTTATGCTTTCATCATACAGCTTATCCATGTCCACTCTGGTAGTGAAGCTGAGATTTTCATAGACGTTTTCAACGTCTCTGTAGATGAACTTGCCATCTTGGAGGGAGAGGGGCTGGAGGTAGAAAAGCCAGTTGCAATTTGAAAAAGCAAACCATTTCTCAATGCAATGGCAGTCTCAATGAATAAAAGGAATTCTCCCATTGCCCTGTTTGCATCAACTGGAGAAAGGCGCTGCAGCTTGACTTTGGTCAGGTCTCCAACAAACTGTTCATCACATCTCTGTGCCAGTTTGGCTCTAAAGGAATACATAATGGCATACAGCTCTATGCAGGTGGTGTTATTGGCCTCAAGCTTCATAACAGTATCTATAAAGAGGGACAATATGTGATTGCAAAAAAGGAGATAAACCTCCACAACATAACTGTCTTCCTCATCCTGCACTTCTGCATTAATGTCTAGCTTCAGCTAGTGAGGAGTAGTCTGGGAAAATCCTCAAGAAGCCTAATGAAGCAGGTGCAAAGACATGGTTCGACTGAAAGCCATGTTATGCACAATATGAGCCTTGCGATACCAACAAAGGGTTGTTTCTTCTTCCGTTTCTGTTTCTTCTTCTTCAACACTGTGTAGACCAAATTGTGAATACTGAAGTTTACATTGAGCAATCCCAGTTTTCTTAAAGTGTGCAGTATGCAATCCACAATCCCTTGGGATTCTCAATGAAATCAATCATCTTGTTCATGACTCCACTTTCAGAAGTGAAGAACTGCACTGCACGAGGGAAGGTTTTTCTGCTTTCCTTGTTGGAGGCATCTGTTTGAATGGAGAAAAAGATTTCAACTTTCAAATTTCAACTTTTTCACCATATCTTCAACAGCTTTTGTCTCAAGAACATCCCTAACTAAGGTCTCATATTTTGTTCTCCTATAGCTCAGTCCTGCAGTATCTTCTGGTTCAGTTCATATGCACAATTAGCACTGTTATAGTTGAAGTTGTGTTTAGCAGTCTAATACATGTGCACCAACTCCGCAGCTGTAACCTGCATAAAAGGAGTCCTAGTAGAACACAAAATATGAACTCAGCTATTAAATAGAAAAAGATTGGTTGCTTTTTAATTCTTAGGAAATAAAAGCAATTTTGAAATATGCAGCAAGCTTTTGGATTGCAAAATCTGGTAGTTATTTAGCCGCACTGTATTCTACATTGACATATTTAGATGTATATTATTTAATTATAAAATTAGTATAGGTGAAGACTGTAATAAAATCAAAGTGCCTCAAATAAGTAGGACCAATTTGCAGGTAACTGCCTAGATCCTTGCTGACTGTATAATATAGCCAACATTAAGCTATTAATATAGCCAATGTTACATTGGCAACACAAATAATTGAACCATATACCAGGTCTGCTTTGAGGGAGGTCTGAGGAATGAGAAAAGTAGCAATGGAAACCTGTGTATTTTGCTGTTTATTAGCTTGGATACACTCTGCCCTATACACTGACAGCCTCCTCTGCTTCTGGGGTTCTGCAGACATCCTGACTACACTTACGAACAGCAAAGGATCCTCTATGAAGAAAACAATGGAAATACTTTTATGTTTCTCTTATTCAAAGAATCACAACAGTAACAATGCCCCCTCCTCTCCTACCCTGGGTCCTACCCCACAGGCCACAGCCTGCCTGCCTCTCATGCCCACCTGTGCTGCCCTCCAGCTCCTTGCCAGCTTTTTCTTTTTTATTAAAGATTTTCTTGTTTTACAGAAGTGTAATGTCTCTCATGTTTTTTCCATGTAACCTTTTTTACAAATCCGTTTCATTTGTTGAGAAATTAGGGGGAGATGGGGAAAAAGAGGGTGGAGGGAGGGAAGATGGGTGGGGGTGGGGTGACGATGTTTCTATTATGCTTAATGTATGTAGGTTTGGTGTCAGCGTTGCTCGTGCAGGTTCTCTACTGTTCACTTGTGTTCCTTTGGTGGTGAGAGAGGTTGGGGTTGGCCTAGGGTGTGGTTGTTTGTTTGTGATTGGCTGTGGTGATCTTTGTTTTCGTGTGAGTGGGGTAGGTGGGTGTTTTGGATCAGGTTAGCCATATTGATTTGTATGCTGTTGGTGGATCATTTTCTTGTTGGGCTGTGTATGTGATAAAGGCGTCTTCTTCTGTTTGTCCCCGTGTCAGTTTCTCCTTTGTTCTCTCAAGAGGATATTTTGAAGGTGACTTCTTTCCTGAAATCCAAGAGAAAAAAGTGTGAGGAGGAAGATGTAAAACAGGGTGTATCAGTCTAAACTGGTGCAATCCAAGGTGTATCAGTCTAAACAACAAAAAGATAGGGAAGTCAGCTGAGAGAGGAGTGGTCACTCCACTCCAGAAATGTTCTCCAGGAACCACTGGGGAATAAAAGTTCTTACCTCTGTTTTACAGTAGAGGGATTTCTGCAAAAGCTGCCTTATACCAAGTCACACCACTTGCTCACTTAACTCAGCACTGCCTACACTGACTGGCAGCAGCTTTCCAAGGTTTTGGACAGGAAGTCTCTCCTAGCCCAGCCTGAGATGCTGAGGACTGGACCTAGGACCGTTTGCATGCAAGGAAGGTGTTCCGTATCTGAGCTATATGGCCCTTCCTTCTGCATTTGGGAGATTTAACAGAACAAGAAGAGCCCTGCTGGATCAGACGGGAGGGGTCCATCTAGTTCTGCATCCTGTGCCCTGCTGTGATCCTGCCAGGTACAACAATAAAAGTCAACCTGGCTTGAACAAATGCTTCTCACACACTTAACAAAAGAAATGTTTAAGCCTGGCTCCCAAGTAAGTGTGTACTGGGGAGAGTCCCAGTACATGAGAAAGATGCTCCTATACATGCAAAGTAGAACAGAACACATGCATCTGAACAAGCAGACTGTGCAGTGATGCCATTAGCCAAAATGAACAACAATCTAAATTTGATGCATATAATTATACAAAATTTAACTCAATGATAGCATGCTTCAATGAAACCATTAATATTCCTGGAGAATATATTAATATTCTATGGAGTTTTGGGGGCACAATCAAAATTTAAGGAAGTGATAGATTTAGTAAAAATATTAAACTTGCATATGATTAACAATTTAATCTATTTGCAACTAATTTAAGAGTAATATAAGTAATTTACTAGTGTCAATTTGCATTTGCTTCCCCACTGAGAGGGCCAGCTGCAATTTTATACATGAGGAAGGCCCACTCAGTTCAACTAACTACTTTCCTATGAGTAAGCCACATTAGTAGTAATAACTTTATTATTTATACCCCACCCATCTGGCTATGTTTCCCCAGCCACTCTGGGCAGCTTAGAGCATATATAAAACCTAATAAAATATCCAACATTAAATAAGAATAATTTTAATTGAATTCAGTAGGGCTTACTTGTGAGTAGACATGAATTTGCTTGCACCGCTTACCAACAAGCACGAAGCATCGCCGCCACCCCCTCAATCTGTCTCACCTCACAACTACCCAATCTCCCATTTCAGCATCAGGCTACCACTGTTAAATCTTCCCTGCCTTCATTTCCCCCTGCTGTGACAGAGAAGGGCCCTGCCCCAAAGCACCCATCAAAAAAAAAAAGGAGGACAAGCTAGCAAAAGCATAATTTAATATTTTTTATATAAAAAAATTTAAAAATCACCTTACTCTTATTACTGGGAGGGACTCCATCCCAGCATAAAGCCCTGCGTCAGCCTCAGACAGGCAGCAAAAAGGCACCAGGGTCGCTCGCACACCAACCAAGAAAAGCCTCGTGGAGTCGCACCTGCTTGCGCCCTCGGCCTTCCCTCCTTTTATCCCTGGAGCAGGGAGGGCGGACAACGCTCACTCCAGCTCCACACCCAATCAGCCAGCGCCATTGCGAATGGCAACCTAAACAACCAATCGCTGCAGCTTCTCCATGCCGTGCAAACCCCTCGCTATTTTAAGGCTCGCGATTTAAGACGTGCAGCGCGTGGGGAGGAGGAGGAGCAGCAGCAGCCGCCCCTCCCCCTCCCCCCGCCTTGAACTCGGGCCGGAAGACAGATTCCGCGCCTCCGGGCTAGCCACGCCCTCCTTCCACCGAAGAAATCCCACCGCCTTGCCTTTCGCCCCGCCCCCTCCTCGCCCCGCAAGCCCCGGCGGCCGTTATCCGGAAGTACACCTCCCAGGGAGAACATCCGGCTGCCGCTCTAGGCGGCGGGGATGCGGGCTCTGTCTATGGTGTTCGCGCGCTTTGTGATGTTTTATTGTGTCGCGGGGATTCGGTGGCCTCGAGACCCGGAACAGCTAGAGAAGGAGGCGGCGGCGTCGTGTTGGAACGGCGGCGACGACGGGTCGCGCAGCAACTGGGCTGCGCGGGAGCCTATAGGATTTCGGTGAGGAAGAGAAGGGGAGAGGAATCAGCGGCCGTTGCGCGGCAGTAACGGTCCTCGCGTCGCTAAGGCGTCCTCGGCCGGGCCGGGGGGGAGAGGGGGGAGGGGCAGATCCGGGGGGCTTCCCTGCTCCCGCCCCCCTTCTTGCACCTGAGAAGGAACCGAGCACCGAAAAGAAGGCGGGATCCGTGTGTCCTTTAAATACAAAACTAAGCAAAATTGGGCAGCTGCTTTTCTACCCGGGGCGGGGGATTCCCTCTCCCTCCTCCGCCCGCCCCGCTTCCCCCGTCTTCCTTCTTCCCCGCGCATACCGCTGCATGTGGAGCGCAGCCCCCTCCTCCTCCGTAGGAAGGGAAGAAGCGCAGGAGGAGGCAGGAGAGCAGGTAACCCAGCATCCCTCCCCCACCCCCGTCCGCAGATTCTGGTTTGTCTCCTGGCAACCCTGGGTGACTCAGATTAGCCAGGAGCCTTTAGGAATAAGGACCCGCTCTGATCACTGCCAACAGGGTTTAGGAGAGAATTGCCTTTTAAAAAACAACAACGTGTTCTCTTCCCCCCACCACCTACCCACCACCTCCATCTCTTCTAATGGCAAACGCTGAACTCCCGTGCCATATCGGTATTGCAGTGAAATTAGCCTATGTGCAGACAAGAAAGAGGTTTCCATTCTCAATGGGATTTCGGCTCATGTAAAGGACCAGGCTTGCACTCTGTGGTGGCCGACAGAGCCAGGATTGTCACTTGAAGGGGCATGCAGCGCCCTTCGCAAGTTAGGGTTAATGCAACCCCTTCTGGATAAAGCTTGGCCAGAGTTGTTCGTCGCCTTGGTAATTTCTAGTCTGGATTACTGTAATCACTTGTATATATAGGACTGCCTTTGAAGATTCTCAAAAATTTGAGTTAGTACAAACCACAGCTACAAGGTTACTAACTTGGGTTGGTTATAGAGAGACCATATCATTTTGCCAGTTCTTAAACAGCTATACTTGTTTTCTGCTCTGTTTCTGGGCACAGTTCCGAGCCTGGTTTTCTATAAAGTCCTAAATGACTTCAAACCTGCCCAAACACTACAATGCGTACCAGAGGCTTTCTTCTGAGTGCCACCACCATCTGAGTTTTAGGCAACTGATGACCAGAGAGAAGGTTGTCTTGACTGCAGAGCCTTCATATGGAATGCCTTACTAAAGAAGCATCCCTCTAGGAATATATATACCTTTATTATGAGGTATCACATAAGACTGCTGTGGTTCAGTTGCCCTGCAGAGCCAATTGTTAAGGTTAAAGGCTAGAAACTTGTATGTATACAAGTATCAAGGCTTGGGAATTGGATTACTGCCTCTTGAAGAGCTAGAAAGTGTAATATCTCTGTATGTACTACAAAGACCTGGGTGGGTGAGCTGGGTGGATTGGATATGACTCAGCTTTACCAGCCCAGGTACTCTGTGCAGCACCAACAAATATGTGTATGCTCATCCATAGAGTTTCAATCTGTTTTACTCGAAAACTTGTTTGGGAGCTGGATTGTGAGGCTTTCTACCTGATGTTTGACTGGAGAGACAGAAAATGATCTTTGGCTTTCACTACAGGGTATACATTAGGAGTGAGCCAGTGGAAGGGGCATGTACATGTTGCCCTAATGTCATAGAAAGACTACTCCCTGGTGATATTTGGTGTGATCGTAGCTGACTTCCCCTGAAGGGATAGGGACCTATTAAGATGACCCCTTTTCCAAAGATTTATGGTACCTAAGGGATTCCTGAGCACACTGGATTTTTCAGCCCTTGCTCCAAGGGATTTTCCAGGCAGCACTGCTGGTGCTCCAGTCTCACTGTGGAACAGCAGGATGATCAGGGCTATCAACACAATCATTCCAGAAAGTTATGAGGAGCCCAGAAGGTTCCTTGTTTTTCTGAGGACCTGGAAAGCAATGAAGCAGGTTGGTAGATGGCCACAGTGACACCAGTGCCATCAGTGAACCACCCAGCAGAGCTTTCTCAAATGGTGAGCAGGCTGGTTAAGTCCAATTTGGGAGTAGAAACAGCTAACCACTCAGTAGCAAAACACTGAGAGCAAAGTCAGTTGCATCCATTCCTAACTTGAAATGGCAGTTTTTGCTGTCTGTGGAGGCTTTTAGAGCACCGTCTGGTCAAAATTTGTGAGATAAACGTCAGTTGTTACAGCCTGAGGATGGTGGCAGGTTGCAGGGGTTAAGCCATTTGGTTCTCTTGACCCTTGCCCATCATGGCTCATCACTGACTTTGTAGGTCTAGGTAGCAATTTATGTCCATCAGTCAGCAATGATGCAAAGCAGAAAAGCAAGCAATTGGTGTTCCCATTTTAAATTAAATCTCCTTGGTTAACTTCCACAAATATAAGTGGTCAAGGGAAAGAGTGTTTGTGTGTCAGACATCCTACCACTGGTTTCAAAAGGGATGGAATGAATAATTTTGCTTTTAGGTTTCCCACATAATCCTGTCATCTCTTTCCCCCATCCCGCCT